CAATCCGGGTGCAGCGTGTCCCAATTGTCATTGCAGCTATACGCCATCATCCAGCTTCTGCCAGCAGTGTGGGTTAAAGCTTCGGATGCCGATGGAACGGGAGGAGCTGGGTGTTGTTCCGAGGGCCAGTGAAATGGTGTGGTCAGAGGTGTTGGAAGCAGGGACACAGCTTTCGAGGCCTTTACTAGTCGGCCGGAATTTCTCTTGTTGATTCTTTCCAGACCTGATAGAAAAGCAAGATCTGCATGACTAACATAGGAAAGGATGGAAAGGGGGGGATTACGCACCAGACATCCCATTTTTAGACGAAGTCTTACACCACCCCCAAGGTCCGACTTGTTCGGGGACCTGCTTAAGCGCCCGGCTCCGTCGATCTGTCGGTCCGGAGGAGAGCCCCAGTACCATGCGATCTGAGGGGCCACTTCGATCTTCATGCTCGGGTCCGGGAAGGGACCGAGGAAGAGACTGCTCATCGGGCCGAAATCTGAAGAGAAGTGCAGCATGAAGGAAGCATGATAAGGATTGATAAGGAATGCCCAATTCAACTGCGAGCAATGTGGATGTGTGATCATTGCTTGATCACATCTTGCAAAGGCACTAGTGCATAATTCGAGGAAGGCTGCTGTGGATCTTGGGATTGAGACTGAGGTCGAAAGCTGTCGGACTGATCGGCTTGATGTGTTGTGTCTCCAACATGCCGGGATCCGATCACAGCATGCTTGCATTATGAGCTGACAGGACCAGTCCTGCAAAGGCTCCTGCATGATTTGTGCAAACCAGTTCAGTTCATGGAGGCTCACCGCATTCTGATGAGAGACCTTTTTGTTCAGTTCGTCCACACTTTCATGATAAGACTGCCGGGGACCAGCATGTCTGATCTAAGCTTTTTGGGTCTGCAAAGAAAGGCGCAGAGTGACCAGCAACGAATCTTCCTAGACCAGGGGGACTGCATGTATAATCAATCATGATCATAGAATATCATACATTTATACCCCATGAGCATGACCCCAATGTAAGTAACTGGTCCAGTCCCATGGATGGTTTGGGCTTGGTTCCTTTACATCAAGTCCTCAACGCTGCTCGGAGATGTGGTGAGTCCGGTGGACACGGGGTGAAGCTGAGAACCGTGGTCGCAGAACAGGCTGCTGTACCAGTGACGGCCACATGTACAGAACAAGCGCTTACTACACTTTTGGGCGGCAAAGAGTTGCAGTTATGAGTCATCCTGCCCTACTGTTGGCTTTTTGATAAGCACAAGAATGGGAAAGGCATGTATCTTATATATCCTAGAATGAGCAATATCAAAAACATATCACTGATATCACAGTTTGTATTTTCACTCCATGTAATATGTACACTTTGTACCTTGCACATAG